TGTCACTCAGTTTCCAACACTGAATGCTGTACCTAAATCCTTCTGTTACACTGTCTTTTGCTCCTGGATATAGGCATAATATAGCAATCTAATTCCCCAGTTAAATATCGCCTGTTCTTTTTGGGTTGGTGGGGTTTTTGGGGTGTTTTTTTTTTTTCCTCCCATGTTTTTTTTTTCTGTTGCAAAACTTGGGTGTTTTCTTTTTTCCTTCTAGAGTACAGCAACACAATATTTTACTAGATAGCTAGAAGTTGCTCTAATGTACAACTTCCTTTATTCTCTTCCTAGCCCCACAGGATAGCTGTCATCTTCACCAGTTGGTGTTATCTAGATTCAACATACACATCAGCTGCACAATTGCAAATTTCTCCAGAGGATACCAGCAGCAGGAGAGTTGACTACAATTCTTCATACAGACAGCATCTAGAAACACATTAGAAATTACATCCTTCTCATTTTCTAAAGCTTTTAACACCACTCACACCTTGCCCTCAGTATCTATTTCCACCAACTTTTCAGGATAATCAGCTGCCTGCTACCAATCAGTCTTGATAAACTAAAAAGGATATAGCCCCATTAAATTGCTGGTAATAGCTGTAAGGGTTTTAACTGTTCAGGAGCAAATTATTAACCTCTGGCTCACCAGGAGTCTGAATAGGACTCATTTGCCTTTTCACACTTCGATGTTTATAAGAGAAAGAATGTCAAAACACTGACCATGTATATTGCTGTGTTACCTGTAAAAGACTATGAAAAAAGATGACCAACTGGTAATGTTTTCTTAGAACAATGTATTATAATTTCAAGTGAAATTTTATCTGTTCAATTATACCTTTAAAAGATACATAAAACCTATATTCTATTCTCACTACAGTATTTAAGTAGAAACAGGATGGCTTTAAGAATAAGGGGATAATATTGAATTTCAAGAATCAGAGTTAAATTCCCAGTTCCTTTGCTGGCTTTTTGTGTTATCTTGAGTAAAGCATTTTTGAGTTTCAGATGGGGGCAATAATCCTTTTGTTTTCTCACTTTGCCTTTCATACCCTTGACACTTTTTGTTTGGTTTGTTGTTTGGCTGTTGTGGTCTTTTTTTTTTTTTTTTTTTTGGTTTTGTTTTGTTTTGTTGTTGTGGGGGGTTCTGGGGGGTGTTGTTTCTATATATTTTGTTATATTTCACCATTAAGATGATAACTCAGCAGAGGGTGAGGTCTAGGAGCTGTTTTAGCAATGCCAGATCGCTACACACCACTTCATCCTCTAATGAAGCAAGATGCAGGGCTGTGCTTTCCCAGTAAGAGAAGAAATGTACTCCTCTTAAAGTTTCAACTCCTGTGTTAAGGAGATAGGATATTATATCGTTATAAGTCCATGTGGTACCAAAAACAATTTATGTAGGCTGAGTCCTATAGATGCTATCATAACACTATACAATTTAAATGGCTAAGAATAAGGCCATATATTTTATTATACCAAAAAAGGAAATAACAAAAAATCAAAATCAAAAACACAAGAACAGATGAAGAAGGGAACTGTTCCAGGAAGCAGGAACCTCATGCCATATTATGAGGGGCTGTGCTCTTCCTTCACACTGATGTAAACCTGCACAGTGCTGCATCATTAACTCACAGATTCAGGGAACTGTAATTTTTTTCTCTTTCTCCCACCCTGATCTTCCCACAGCTGGGGCTTTGTAACATGCAGCCAGTGTCGGGCTGTCCTTAGACACTGTGAACTGCTGTTAATGAAGATTAGCTGGGTAAGGCATGGGGGAAGCTAGTACACTAACTGCATGTTCAACAGCTATTTCAGTAAAGCTGTCTGTGACACTGATCATCAGCTGATTGTGAGGGCTTGCCTTGGGTCAACAGTACATAGATATATGGGCCTGCTAACAATATGATCAAATATATCTCCTTCCAGCATCTTGAAATGGTCACTGAGGAGACTGCTAGCTTCCTTTCTTGGCATTATTTAATCAATCTGCATGTTCTGTATATCTGCACAAGACCTGAAGTCTAGAGAAGTCAGTGCCAAGCAGTATCCATATTTAAGGAAATAAAGTACTTACCCATTCAAAATTGAAGGAATGCAAGGGGAAAGGTTATTTTTCATGTCTGCTTGATAACTGAAGAAAACAAACAGTGAAATACAGCTTTTAAAATACATAGTCCCTTGCAATAATTTAATAAACCATGCTGTCATCTCGTAAAGGATCGGAATGGTTGCCGTGGTGACAAAGATTATCCTTGCTGCTGCTTGATTCTGTCATTTTTCTAAACACGAATCCGTAATATTTGGGATTTATTAACAATGTGTCACATTGATAGAGATAAATTACATGCTTTAAACTGGCCCTGTAAGTGTTCTGTGGTATTATAGCCACTTCTTCAACTTAGCAATAAGATATGATGTGATTACTAGAAAATTAAAGCTATTTGTCATTAAAGATGAAGAAAACGGTATTGAAATTTCAGAAAAGAAAAAAATACTCTCCAATAATATAATGTGTTTCCTTATTTTTAATATTTTAGAGTTATCGAAGAGTCACTATTTTCTATCTTGTAAATTGGTCAAGATCAGCATATATTGAGAATAGATTTATTTGTGCTGGGAAAATTTAGCTTGTAATGTATCAGAACTGATGTGTTCCAAGCTGCAATTTTTTATGATGGCTCAAACAATAATAGGAAGTTTATGAAGAGATCTTATTGATGCCCTACTTTGCGATATATTAAAACATAAATATACACACTGTATTTCACTTTAAAGAACTTGTACAGGATTTTTTGTGATGTGTAGCATTCTAATTGTAGCAGCAACTTACATGAGATTCTCAGTGCAACTGTCTAGAAAGTGACATTTTTGTGTACCTTACTGAAGTATTTGTGTCAAGTAAGTTTCACTGCTGGCAGAATGTGAGACTGATTTAAATGGCCAGCTCTACAGTCATTGCTCCATACTATTTTGCAGTCAAATTAGCAGTGAGAATTTCCCTAAACCCTTAGCAACTTTAAAGACCTTTTGTTTTTATTTTGAAAGAACAAAAGTTTATACTTATGTTTTCAATAAAGAGGGGCCTATTTTCTGTGGTGAGACACATGGGACGTGTGGGAACTCAGAAAAGTTGAGGCATCTTGAGGCAATTAAGGAATATGTGTCTGTGTAGATGACTGCCTGAAGAATGTGATTTATCACTTAGTGGGCCATATTCACCTCTGTGTGTAGGATGACCTCTTGAGCTGGGTGAGATATGTCTCTACTGCATGTTGCAATGCAGAGGAAGTGACAAGGAGACAGGGAAACTCTGAAAATCCAGAAAAGGATTTTCTATAAACTGGATTATCTCAGTTGATAGAAAAAGAATCTTCATACGGTTGCAGAAAGAAAAATAAGCCAGGCTAAAATGAAATACAGTTAAACAATACGGCGTGATTTCTTCCTAATCACAACCTTTGTGGTTTATATAACAATAAATAAGCTACACACCCAGGCTGCAAGAAACAAGATGAAAACTAAATCAAAAGTCTTTAGCTTAATGTTATCATATAATTAGCTTAACTTTGCTGCCATACATTAGTAGCTAACAGTATTTTGGACTATATTGCACTTTAGCTCAGTGAAATAGTATTCTCTTTATCCAAAGACAACATAGGTTGATAGCATAGAAGAGGTGATTTTCCTGCAAACAAGACACAATCAATATTCCAGATGGCAAATACTATCAAATAAAACCATTCTGTATTTATTTTCAAGAACCTATACTAAGATCAAAATCGTGGGAAGCAAAATTACCATTGCCTGGACCTCTTTGGCAACGTGCATGCTGTTACAACCTGAAGAAAGAACTAAGGGTATAAGTGGAAAATTTCAGTTTTCTTCAAAAGACATTAAAATAGCTCTTTAGAGTTGAGTTGTAGTATGCACAATATTTTCTTTGTTGGATTAATTTTGGGGTCAGTGTTCCTTGTTAATTAGACACTACAGGCCAAATCTAACCCTAAACTACAGAAGCATCTCCCACAGAGTCTGTGAGATTGTAATGTGCTTTTGTCAAAGATGAATTTGATCCAGTATTTTATACCAGTTTCCTACTGCAGGAAATATATGCATAATAACATAAACCTGGCACTCTGTATAGTCTTAATAACTTTACTGAACACCAGTAATAAACGGCCTTTAAATTTCTACCACTGTATGCAAACAGTGCTATGCAATCTTGACTTAATTCTGGTTTGTTTTTTTCTCAGATTCAACACTTTGCATTTTCAATGTTATCCTTTTGTTTGGGGCAGTAGGAAATAAATTAGTGTCAGAGGTATATAGCAGTAATTTAATATCAATAGCATAAGTGAGGAATTTTGTTTAAAAGAGATAGTGTAGCAAAAGAAGGTAAATACTGTTCCACTTCCTCTTCTAAAAATACAGTACTCAATGCTTTGGTATATAGCAAATGAATCATTCTCCAAGACAATGATCCCTAACCTGGGAACTTTTATTTCTGTAATCTGTATACAGTATTGAATCGCTTCTTGTGTGCTGGAGTTATCAGTTCAGCAAGTGAGCTCTAAAAAATTTAGTAAATGCAGTAAAAAGAACATTTTTTTCCTTTTGAAGGTAATTTGGAAAACATAAAATACTGGTAACTCAAGACACATTAAAAATATGTTTAGTAAAACCATGAGTTTTTCTGATTCATGACCAACACATGTTACTGTATAGCTGTTGCAGACCAGCAAAATGTATTTTTGACTTTAAAATTGCTCAGTTAAATCCAAAGTAATTATTAAGTCATTTAATGTTACTATTTTTTGTCCATATATGCATATGTATATAAAATTGAACTATATTGTGTATAATTCTGAATATGCAGATGATAAAGACATTACTCTCCTATAATATTTAAAGAATGTAGGTGTTTTTTATCATGAAAATGCGTCTGATATGTTGTGTGTGAAGCTTATTATAATATTGCTAAATTTACATTGCATTGTTTTCAGAAATTCCCAAACAGAAGCTGGAGAGATATGAAAAGCAAACACCAACAAAAGGTGACTTTGTATTTCTGTCTATTATCTACCTATATACATATATATGCGATATACAGTGTATTTGTTAACTACATATGTTATCACTTTTACATTATAGACGCATTCAAGCTGTAAATTATCACAGAATTGTCTGTACCTTAACATTAGCAAATAGTGTAATTTTGTTTGGCTATATTGTCAATGGAGAGTCATAAAAAATATTTTCCCATCTAAACTTATCCAGAAATCCTTTTTGTAGCAAAGGTGCAAGAAAGTAGAGTGCGGATGAACTTCCTCTGGTGCAAAAAGCGTGAAGTGTGTTGAGCAAGGAAAAAAGCAAATTTATAGGCCAGTGGGTGCTAACCAAGTTACGAAGTCATAGTTAACAGTGAGACAGCTGTGTATCAGAGATAAGAAAAGCCTCCATTTTAAGAACCTACTCTTTTGCAGATTGTTCACTCTTTTCTAACTGGCACTTTCTAAAAATCCACAGAGGAACTGTTTTGGACTGGTTTTCAAAGGTCAGGTAAACAAAGATATTTCCTGGGATATGTGCAGATTTTTTGCCTAAGAAACCTCCTCTATAAAGGTTAGGTTGCATAAAATTTTATGAACATCTCTCTGATGCACCAGTGCTATGCTTAGTTATGACAGGAGGAAGCAAGAAGGGAGCTTATTAAAAGTAGTATGTATATACACACATGCTCCTTCACACTATTATATTCAGTTCTGTATGTATTCTTATATGTTTTTATAGTATTTTACACCCCTATTCCTAGCTTTCTAGTCTGTGCTAATCAGGGTCATCTGGAGTGTCTAGACCTGCATCCCAACTACTTAATAAATCATGTTGTTTGAAAATGAGGGTTTTTAGGTTATCAGTGGTCTAGCCCGGCAATAATGCAAGGGATCCCAGGTAAGGTCTTTTCACACACAGTATTCTAAAAACACAAATGAAGTTGCAGCCTTGACCAAAACAGCCTCTTGTGTACCATTTTACCTACACGGGAGTTCATTGCTTTACATAGAAGAATGTGAACTTTGCAGAAATGATTACTAAGATTTTATAAAATGCCAGAAAAAAAGCATTCATGTGTCATAGAGCTAAGTCACTTTATGCATATGCCTGATAATGCTGTCTTTAATTAGGCAGTCACTGAAGCACAGGACAGATTTTTTTCTGTTTTTTTGTTTTCATATTTAGTTCCAAAAAATGCATCTTGTACATAGGAGGAAAAATTATAAGAAAACATTCCGTCTGGCCTCAAGCTAGAGTATGATAAAGGCATGAATCTTCAGGGAGTTTTACTGTTACCTTCTAAAGTACCTCCAGAAAATATGTGCAACTATAATATAATATTGTTTTTAATAGAAAAAATCCAGAGGAAAAATGGATGTTTCTGATAAATGCAAACACCACAAACAAATTTCAGTTATCCACCCCAAAATATGACACTAGAGTTCTAAAAATAATTTTAAGCATATTTTTTGGATAGTCAACCTCCCTGAATCTAAGTCGCAAGATTTACAAGGGATTTCCACCCACAAGCCTAATTTTGAAAAGATTTTACTGAAATAAGAGGAATAGGTATAATTACTGAAAATTCCAGATGGAAGTGGCTGAGATTATAAGAAAGATTCTTATGACATTAAGAGTCAGGTAAACCCGTGCCCTAAAATTTGCTTTGAATGAAATATTTCTATAAAGTGCTAGTAATAGTTCAATTTTTGTACTTTTCAATTACTGTACTTAGTCAATTTGATCCTGAAAAGAAGAAATACTATGAGAAATGATTCACCAAAGCATTTTCTCATGCTTAAGAGCACTGAAATTATTTCAAAATTATGTACATACATAAGCACAGAGTCACTATAAAATAGGTTCCTTCCAATTTGGTATTTGATTTATTAGTACTTTCACAAGGGCAAATGGCACCCTGGACTGTATGAGCTCGGCCCATCAGTAGCAGTAAGGTATTAAATATCCCGCTGTACTCATCTCGCATAAGACCACATCTAGATGCTGTGTCCAGTTCTGCGCTTCCCAGTTCAGGAAAGCCATCAGTAAACTGTACTGAGTTCAGCCTGAGGCCACTGTGATGGTCAGGGCTGGAGCAGTTGCCCCAAGAGGAAAGGCTGAGGGATAGGGCTTTCTCAGCCTGGGACAGCTGTCCTGTGAGTTTGTCATTTTGTGACATAAAACTCTAAGGTGTTGCTGAAGTCTGTTTAAGTAGCAGGTGTCATAATTGTTACTACTATTACGATCAATGAATAAAACATAACTATGCAATACTTTGTAAACAGGGAAGAACAATAATAAAATCATAGAATCATAGAATATTAGGGTTGGAAAGGACCTGAAGATCATCAAGTTCCAAAGTACATGTAAATACCTTCTCTAATGGAAGGCTCAATGATAATCCAGATGGACATTTCTGATTTTTATGGAAAACTGATTTTAACAATGAAATGAATTGTCCTGCATTTCTGGGAAATATATCTTATTACAACAGACATTAAGAAGAAACTGGAAAAGGCTGATCTACAGTGTGGCTTTTCCCAAATACACTTCACTAATACATTGCTGTTGGAGTGAGGGAGGGAAAAAGACAATGTGATGATTAAATGTTACCTGTGGCAACCATACATTAAGTCCCGGTGACTATAGGACAGATACTTGTTTGCCTATGAATTAACACTAATCTCTCTCTTTTGCTTCAGAAAGTATCTCTGAATTAACCTGATCTGACAGATTCCAGGCCCTCCAGAACTATTTCATTTGCTATTCACGGCACATATTTGTACCTCCTGCCTCTATTAAGTGGTCAATAGGGTGGTACTGATAATCATAGAATCATAGAATAATGGAATGGCTGGGTTGGAAAGACCTTAAGATTATCTATTTCCAACCCCATGACATGGACAGGGACAGCTCACACTACACCATGTCACCGAAGGCTCTGTCCAGCCTGGCCTTGAACAATGCCAGGGACTGGAGCATTTACCACTTCTTTGGGCAGATTTTAAAAATCACAGAATAAAACTGTCTGTATTTTGGCACATGGATAAATTACGAGTTTATAAAGACAAGTATAATATGACCCCATAATTTACTTTGTTATAACTGGAAGACAAGGTATTTCAGACAGCTAAAAAGATAAATAGACCCAGACCATACAAATCCACAGTATACTAGAAACATATGCAAACTGACAAAATTAGCAAATGAAATGTCATATTAATGTTTGACACAAGGCTGCATAATTTCTGGAGGTATAGCTACAGAGATACATGAGTTAACTTCAAACTAGTTAACATGGTACAGATAGCAATGTAGCTGTAGTGATTAAGATACATCTGTCAAGTATTTATTTAGCTGTATGGGTTTACAGCAGCCTAGGATGAAGCCAGTGCTGTGGGAAGTTTGACTACCACCAATAGCTGTTAAACCTAAATCTCATTTCAGATGGATGTAACACTTTTTGACTGCTACAATTAAATCTAATTCTAAATTATATAAACATGTAACTCATGAGACCTTGTCTCACTCTTATACAGGTGTTTACATTCAGTGTTGCAGGGCTAAATCCAGCACAGGGTTAGGAGCTGCAGTAAGCAGAGTGTGCATGCCTAGTGCCAGCTGTTGAGGACCTGGGCAGTCAGAGGCAATCTTCTTCCACCTCCTCAGGTAATTGAGGTGATTTAGAGTGAGTGCAGGTGCTTTCATGGCCCATTAATTACTCTGATTTTCTTAGATTATTGTTTTGGACCTGGGAGCCTGTGCCCCTTTCCTTTTTTTTTCTCTTTTTTGTTTTCTGAGTATTCAAGAAGAATTAATTCATAGCATCTAAGGTTACTTCTAAGGTTACTTTACTTCTCAATAAAAAAATCTACACAGAGATTTAATGGTCTCTGACTAATGCACTCAAACTTCATTGAATTAGTTCATTTATCTTAACTTTCTGAGTGTTGCTGTGTAAACCAGTACTTAGCTGGAACAAGCAATCTCTGCTTTGTGCATATCATGCTCATCACCTACTTTTATACTAAGCATCAGACTTCAGACTTACTCAGCTGGAAACTCTTTTTAGATCCCTTAGGTAAAAAATTAGTGCCTCCTTATTACATCTCTTCTTTTTGCACTTGTTTTTGTGGTGAGGAACGTCTCTATCTCAAACACTTTAATGAAGAAAAATTAAATTATATCCTCCTTCACTACCTTCCATTCGTTGCAAATTAAATATACTATTAGATGACTGAAATTCAGAAAAATGTGTCACATATATACTACTTCTTGCTTTTAATTTTATGTGAAGTAGATAACTATTCCTATACAATTAAGTTTGGAATACGTTGATAGATTACCTTCAAATTTTCTGTTATAGAATCATAGAATCGTTAGGGTTGGAAAGAACCTTAAGGTCATCTAGCTCCAACCCCCCTGCCATGGGCAGGGACACCTCACACTAAACCATGCCACCCAAGGTTTCGTCCAACCTGGCCTTGAACACTGCCAGGGATGGAGCATTCACAACTTCCCTGGGCAACCCATTTCAGTGCCTCACCACCCTTACAGGAAAGAATTTCCTCCTTATATCCAATCTAAAGTTCCCCTGTTTAAGTTTTAAACCGTTACCCTTTGTCCTGTCACTACAGTCCCTAATGAAGAGTACCTCCTCAGCATCCCCATAGGTCCCCTTCAGATACTGGAAGGCTGCTATGAGGTCTCCATGCAGCCTTCTCTTCTTGCTACTGAACAGCCCCAACTTTCTCAGCCTGTCTTCATAAGGGAGGTGCTCCAGTCCCCTGATCATCCTTGTGGCCCCTCTCTGGACTTGTTCCAACAGTTCCCTGTACTTTTTATGTTGAGGACACCAGAACTGCACACAATACTGCAAGTGAGGTCTCACAAGAGCAGAATAGAGGGGCAGGATCACCACCTCCAACCTGCTGGTCACGCTCCTTTTGATGCACCCCAGGATACAGTTGGCTTTCTGGGCTGCAAGCCCACACTGCCGGCT